TTTTAACTAAAAAGTAGTTAAAACACTATAATGAATTAATTGTTTTAGTTGTGTAAACACTTTCTTGTCCGCTGATTTTTGTTACTTCTTTTGTTTTTTGTTATTTTCTTGTGTTAATGGAAACATATTGTAATTTTTTTTACTTACTAATATAGTTTATAGTCTAATATACCTATTTTCATTTTAAAAAAATTTAATATGCATATTCTTACTGCTTTTATTTCGCTTCAAAGTAAAAAATTCAAATTTTTTCCCTGTGTGTAAACACTTTCTTGCCAAACTGTATACGGACATTTAAAAAATAGCTCTTATATCTTCTGATATCGACGCGTTCACACATACGGACATACGGACATAGCTAAATCGACTCTGCTCGTTGCTCTGATCAAGAATATAAATATCTTATACGGTCTGCCACGCCTGTTTCTGCCATCTACATACCTATAACAATACAATTATACCTCAATTTCCCATGCGTAGTCCCGTCAATGGGTTCAGGGTACAAAAATATGTAGTCGCTATACAGCAAAATTGACATGGCAAAAAATGGTGGCGTCTATAGATATAGCTTTTAATACTATTGATGCTAGGGAGCTAAATAGCATGTTGCCTTAAAAAGATTAGTGTGTATAGTATATAAATATGTAGAATAAGGTAGCTGTAAGTTTTCATTTTTAAACTTATTGCTTTCGTTTTTTTAAATACTATTTTTTAATGTTATCAGATATTGTCAAATATGTTAATTGAACAGATTTCTAAAACTGACTGATTTGGTTTTTAATGCACTCTTCTGAACAATTACTTAATTTAACGAATTGTATACCACTACAGACTAGTCGAACAGGATGTTTAACTGTAAATGTGTGCGACATCGATACTTTAACGGGTTTATCAATGCCAGATGCAAGTCCTCCGTTAACCACTTTACCTGGTACAGGAGCAAATGAATCTCGTACAACGGTCAACGAGATTGAGATGGCAGCCGAATCTACAAACATTCAAACTGTGAGTTTGATATCAACAACACTTTTAACGTCGAAGCCTGCAACACCTAATGGAGATAACCAACATTTAAATACGGGAACAGATAATGTACCACATACCATAAAACATCCTTCTGTCACGTGCTCTACACCAGTAAGTGAAGTTACCTTTGTAATATATGAGTTCTGTTTTAAATTTTTTTGGATATCACTTAGGTAACAAGCGCAAGCATTTCTGGTTGCGAATCGTACCTTGCTTCGGAGTCTGCACATTGTGGGCCTGAACTAAATCCATGCACAACTACAAAAGGAACAACTTTAAGCACAAAAAAAATTGTAACATCACATGGAATGGACACAATTTCTTTGGGTCCCCCTTTAACTCCCGTTACTATAGCATCATTACATGGATCATTTGCGGAGCGAACGTCTAATGTAGTTCTATCAGCAAACTATAACCCAAATGATCATCAACAGCTAATTATTGATGGGAGAACAACCGCTGGTGCTGTAGAGCCGCACAAGAATGTAAATGTTTCTTTGTCAACATCTTCTTCTTCAGTCGCTAATGGATTCGTCTGTACTCACTCATCTGTCAGTTCATCAGCTGCTGGAAAAAGTCTACTGAATGTTTCTCCTCATTCAGGAAATAAGGTGTTGCCCATTCCATCTAATACGGTAGTTGGTTCAGCTGTAGTGGCGGCCTCTACCATAACGAAAACATCTGTTAGTACAGGAACTAGTTCAGTAGGGGCAGCGGGCTCTTCATTGGTGTTTCATGGGGCAGCCCCACTGATGTCTCACTCGAGTGCAGGGTTGCCCATGTTAATTCAAGCAACGCCATACCGCTCTCCTTTCCCTAATTATTCAACTTTATATACACCCTATAATAACATAACTCATGGACAATACCTTCCATCAGTGATATCAATGGGAAATTCTAATACCTCATCTTTATCTCAACGCTCGGATAATCGCAGCTGTCGGGAGACGCAGCCAATGACATCTTTAAAAATGCCAGTAACAAGTGCATCTACACTGAATCAGCAAAGTGCTAACATTGCAGGATTGCGACCTATAACACCACTAGGCTATATGATTAGCAATAATAGTACAACGCAGGTATTAGGGACCATTCCTATAACAACAACGACCGTACCTTCGTTACATTCGACACAGTCACATCTCTTACCAGCTGCATTTAATACTTCAGCCCCGGGACCACCAATTTCAACAACACAATTGTCCACTTCCGCAGGAATTACAGTTGTTACTTCGCAGACGCAACCTTGTGCACCAATTCTTCCTCAAACTGGATATCAATCCCATGTTCCTCAAGTAATAAACTCATATCCACAGTTCGCGCATTCAACATCGACAACTCAACAGTCACTTTTGCGTTGTACTACCACTTCAACGATTAGTACAAGTAATACAACAGTCCTTACTGTACAAAGTTTAATAACAGCGACGCCATCGCCTTCAATAAACACCTCTGTTGCGCCATCGTCTGTGATTCAAAAAATACTTTCGCCTAAAATTGACAGTAGAGATCGCGAAACAAGTTACAGGTATTCATATTTTTGCTATATTATAAATATGTATATTTATATACATACTTGACTAACTGTTTCGATAGAATGTCTAATCAACATTTAAATTGTATTGGCTTCTTTACATATTTTTAATCATATATAAAATTAGGAACTCATGACCTTAGTCCCGTATCCGCAATTCTTAATTTTAAAATCATTTCATACATTTTTGCCCAGTATCTACAGTAGAAAAAGCAAAGAACAAAATAATATTAAATATGTATACATACATAAAAGAGTAAAATAAACTACTAGGAATCCCCTGAGCCCCATCCAATACTTATACTTCAGCTTAAAAATTATACAAAACTATATAAAATCATTTTCATAATCAATAGTGTGTTGCGATCTAAAATACTTTTTTCTGCCTTTTGGGGCTTTAATAATAATTTTCATGGCGCAAAAAGTAACAAAAAGTTTTGCCCACTAAGAACAATAAAAACTTTCCCAATAAAATTGTTTATATATGAATTTACAGTTTTTAGACTACGGTAATTCCGGGAGAAACACAATTTTTGCATGTAAAAACTCAACGAAGTAAAATATACATAGAATGACAAACAATGTAAAAAGAAGTGAGAAGATACTAGTCGGGACTGCTCGGTTAAGAGATACCCAGACCCTCCAAGCTGACACTCTAAACATTCTCCATTTCTTTTATGCGCACGTACATACACATGCATCCACATGCACGCATAAGCACGTGCTCGTGATCATAATGCTCAAATGTATGTATATTTCGAAGAGCAAGTCTCTAGTATTTGAAATACTTTAATTACAAATCTCCGGCGAAGGAGACATGGTATCCAAAATCTGTAAATTGCAAAATCTTTGTATTCATGAAATGTAATGTAAAATTGTTAAAATTAGGCTGAAAAAAGTCTATTTATCGGTTATCCTCGATAAAAAATATCGAATGAGTTAACAAAAAATATGATAAACTCGTACTGCGTATGGTATACACGAGTCTACGGGCAAAATTTCTCTCTAGCTCTTAAAACTTCTGAGATCTAGGCGTTCATACGGACGGACAAACGGACAGGGCTTGACTCAGCTCGTCACTCTATGGGGTCTGCGATGATTCCTTCTGCCTGTTACACACTTTTCAGAAAGCCATTATACCCTGATTTTCCATTTTCAATGGGTTCAGGGTATACAAGATAAATGAAAGAGATACCCTGAGACAATCATCCCATACTTCTCTGATCCATACACAGCATAATCACACGCACTCATTGACACTTAATTGTTACGCAAATTTTCTTGTAGATAAATTTTGTATACCCTGAATCCATTGAAAATGGGAAGTGGGTATAATGGCTTTCTGAAAAGTGTGTAACAGGCAGAAGGAATCATCGCAGACCCCATAGAGTGACGAGCTGAGTCAAGTGAAATGTATGTAACAGGTCTCCTAGTCTAGTAGTCTCGACTAGAGCCTTACTTGTTTTTGTCTTACCATATATATATTTAAGTGCGTATATTATATATTAATTTATAAGAAA